GCAACATCTGGATGGGTTTATAAACACCAATATGCACGGTTACTTCCCACATGGATCAACATTTTTATATTGCAACATGAGTGTAGATGAGTACATCAACATTTGAAGGGTCTCTAGTTTGTATAGGCTCCCACATGGATCAACATTTATATATTGCAACATGAGTGTAGATGAGTACATCAACATTTGAAGGGTCTCTAGTTTGTACAGGCTCACGGATAAATTTGCCGGGAAGTATGCACTAACTATTAGCTAAGGTATTGACTCCTAAACTCAAAGGGTTATCAATAGTGTGATGTGTGGTGAGTGATTCTCAGCTGTGGCTTTTGTGAAGGGCGAACAGTACTTCCTAGAACATACTTTCTTTTCTGAAGAAGAGTATTGAAAACCCTTAAAAACATAACAATCTTAAGATATGCATATGTTTTCACACGTACATTAATGCACAAACATCCATAACTCCCCACCATTTCCACAATTTAAACAACCAGTTTCTTAATTTTTTCCATCTAAAGGGAAAAAGAAAAACATATGAACTTGTGTTATGCATCTATTCTCTTGCACACCAGCCTCCCTAGTCTGCTAAAATAAGGTATCACCTATAAGTCTCAAATGGCATTCTACAAGGAAAGTGCACCATGAAGAATAAATATATTAAGATAAGTGTCTATTAAAAATAAAATAATATCAAAAACTGTAGACGCCCATGCTAAGGATGAGGCAGAAAACTTACAGCTATTGTCATGAGCTCTTCCAGAAGTTCTTCTAAATGCCGAAGAGGCTATTGTGAAAACAACAAAGTCCACATGTCAATAGCTAAGTGACAAAACATTCATGAGGAATGAAGGAAATCCAAGGGCCAAAATACCAGTAGAAAAAGAAAGAAGAAACAACAGAACATTGCAAATAGGTAACTCAATAAATTATATGGAAAGCTTACCCATTGAGTTGGACCATCGACTGGTGCATTCAGAGGATCATTGTGCACCTAAGCATTAAAATGTAGACAGAAAATAATAATACACTACAAAAATAAGGATATTAACAATGTACATGTTAGCCACTGATACTCGAATTGATTTTGACCAAATTACCAGCTGTTAGCCACTGACCCGACTTAGCCATAAGTATTATTAAGCTTAAGAAGCTAAACTAAATAACTTTTAAGCAAATCATCTGTTACCTCCATGAAAATGCCATCAACTCCAACTGCTACTGCTGTTCTAGCAACACATGGTATCAGTTCACGCAGACCTCCACTAGCAACACCTCCACCATCCAACTGTATTAGGAACCATGTTATTAGCCTCCTATAACAAGACAGAAGCGAAAAACTCCTCATTCGGAGATTGTTTATGATTTAAAAGTTAATAAAGATGTCCTTGAATTGGAAAATGAATTATTAACATGAACTGCTAGATAATTTAATTAGTGACTTTTGACTTAAAAGTTCTGAAAAATTAGAACAGAGACCATTATCTACCTGCTTTTGATCAGAAAAGACAAGATTTCAGTGAGAGAAAGAACTAAGAGAGAAAATCCCAGCGTATCTTTCTGATTCGTGTATTTAACACCCTCACTAAGGGCGCTTCAGCATTTGGGCCATACCCAATCTCAACACCAAGGGAACTCTTGGTGAATGGAAAAGAAAAAACCTACAGTGTCATGCTAGAGATATATAAGTTAGACATCCCATGGTTCTCTGAGATTGGTGAGGCTAGGAAACATTCAATTTGCCTGTTCCTGTCCCAAGATCGCTTTGTCTTCTTGATTCTTTGTTTAAGCTGTTCTAGCATTTTGGGAAAAGTACTTCAGATATATTATTTCAGCAAATGGGGATTGGGTCTATTGGTGCAGTACAGGAATTCTAGGGGAAACAGTTAGGAATATAAAGTGAAGAAGCCTGCTACATTATTCAAATCTTTCCTTGAAGATAACAAGGCAGATGGGTGGTGGTATCCTCATTTTGTAACTGGCAATATGGGCAGTTATATTAAGATGTGGCAAAAGAAGCTGATAGCACGGCAAGGTGCGCTTGAGGCTTCCTAAACAAAAAAATCAATGCTTCTGCTCTGCAACAATGTTCTGCCGTTGTCCAAGCCCTGAGAGAAGGTAATCGCCCTCCAGGTCAAGTGCAGCTTGTGATTTCCCTCAGGCCAGCAAACCCAAAACACCAGGAAGAGATGCCAAGTGTGGCCAAGGCAGATCTTTGCAGGAGCGGTAGAAGCAGCAAAAAGTCCATATCAAAGACAAATCTCCAGACTCAAACTTAGTCATGCCAGGTTTTAATTTCAAAAGAGGAAAAGAGTATCTAAGGCTTCATAATACCTTAAAATATTTTCTAGCTTTCATTTTTAATAATTTTATATTTTCAGATACAAAAATATTTATGGTAGTTAAAAATAAAATTATGGTTAAATATAAAGTTGATGTGGTATGGATTTGAAATATTCGAAAGTTAATTTCATTGCTTTTCCAAAAATATGCTTTGTTTATACAGAGGCATACAAACTAATACAGACAACACTATGTCTAAATATGTACATATGTATTGCCATAAAAGAAGAAGCATATTTTGTAGAAGAAAAGAGTATTAAAAAGAAGGCACGAAGGTCAAAGGGGTTCCACCCATGCCTAGATAGAGAGGGAGATAAATAAAAGAGAACTAGAGAATTTTGGAATTTTGTGGCCAATAGAAAAGAAAGGAAATGAGGGTGGGGGAATGGAAGGGGAAAAGGATCAGATTTTCCTTTCCTTTTTTGGATGCTAAGAAAACACAAGGGAAAATTATTTAACAGTTTTTGGTTGTTGGCTGGAGAAGAAAAGAAAATATGTATATTCACAATTTTACTCTTTTAACATCATTTAACCACCTCTTTCGCCTTTGTATTACCAAGAGTATACATTATCAGAACTCATCCGACTGAAAAAAAGACACCTAAATACATGTTTCAAGTCCTTGAAATACCTAGGAATTCGTTGGAGCACCCAAAATGTCCAGAAACATGTGCTATTATCTGAAGTACCAAAAACACACAAGAGTATCCAAAATGTCGGGAACCATGTCTAGGCTAAAATAAAATACACAAAGAAGTGTTAGGTTATTAGAAAACAAGGCTCGCCTAGAATGGAGTATACAAAATGCAAAAAGTGCACCCCAGTCTTCTAATCACCCAAAAACATGTCTAGGTACTCGAGACACCCAAAAAACGTACCATGATATCCATAATGCTCAAACATGGACTTAGGCGAACAGAATACCTAGAAATGCATTATGTACAATAAATGCTTAGAAAGTACCCCCGGTTAGGCAAAATTATCAAACAAAAAAAAAACCCTCGTGTATCTTGAATGGTAAGAACACCCCCAAATACCAGATTAGTCAAAAACAAACCCCGGTTTTTATGAGAATTTCGGGTATCCGAGAGTTTCGGCTATTCCAAGAACCTGGGAGCTTTTTTCTACACATTTGGGCACCTAGTTGAACTTTTTAGCCTTCTAGGTCTAGGATCATTTTGGGATATTTTAGGTGCCTAGCGATATTTTAGGCATTAGAAAATTCAGGGTTCTGGGATTATTTCTAAGCGACCTGTGTCTCCAAGGGAATTTCTTGACATTTCAAATACCCGAGGGCATTCTTAGGTTTTTCAAGCATCAAGGTCATTTCTAGGCACTTAGTCTATCGAAGGGGCATTTTCTAGACAGTTTTGGGCATTAGTTGAGTTTTTGGGTACTTGAGAGCATTCTTCTGCCTTCTAGATACCTAAGGACATTTTTGGACTTTTTCTTTCTTTTGCAGTGCGCCAAGCTCAATTTGGTGCTTATTGATTTCTCTCTACACTCCGCTAATCGCTACTCGCACACATCTCACCCAAACCCTAATCAATATCCCTTCCCACCCCTGGTCTGACCACCTAAACTCGCCCTTGGATTCTTTCCATCGGTTGGGTCGGCCTTTCGTCTCCTGCCCAGCCAACATGTCTCACGAAAACTTGAAGCGCTTTATCCTCATAGGGAGGAAATCGTTTGATATCGTCTGTGAAGGAAAAAATCTTGATGGACTAAGAATATATGCAAATGGAAGAGGAAACAGAATCTCCATTGGTCTCAACAAGAAAGAAGTAGAATGGTTAGTTGAAAGCCTCAGTGACTTTTATTGGAATAAAGGTGGTAAATCTTGGGGGAGAAACTTCACGGGACACTATCGCCATCTCTTCCTTGTTTTGGTGAGGAACAGAAGAGGTCGACACCTCGTGCTTTCTGAGGAAAAAAATACTCCGTTAAAAGAATCTTCTTTCCCGACTGTCACAACGCGGGTGGATGGTGGAGAACTCTAAAGGCTATTTTTGAGTTAACAGACACCCCTCTAAAAAATCCTTCAACTCGGAAGCGCGTACAAGTGGCCACTATCACTATCACAAGTACGCACCAGGTCAAAGCCGAACCCAATCACTTCTCCTTATTTTGTCCGAAATGTCAGTACAGTGTCCGTATGGTACTCACAACTCTTCCTGAGATGTCATTCGCTGAGGTCGTGGCCTCTTCCTCAATCAACTCTAATCAAGCGAGGACGAAGACGAAGACGAAGACGAAGAACCCCGACCTGTCACAGACCCCAAAAAACCCGATTTTTGAATTTCAAATCCGCATATGGATCTTGCGAGCGCCCACCACCACAAAAACCTGTGAAACGGGTTTTCTTACATAAGCCCATTTTTCGAGGGAGGAAAAAGGAAAATGGGTTGATCACATTGGACCCAGCAAGGAGGCTTCTAAATTGTTCGCTCACCCCAAGCCCAAACATCAAAAACACTTATGGAAATGGAGACCCAAAAAGAAAACTACTCTATCCCCGACCCGAACATAATCGATCGACCCGGAATCACGTGTGGATAAGATTTACCAAAATTCAGACACTCCTCAAAACCTCACGACTTTTGAAGCCCTAATCTCAGATGTCATTGCTCCCTCTCCTCTGGAGCAGGTTCTTTATCCCATTTCGATCCCTGAACCCGCAGCTGTGCCCCCCTTCAGCACTCCTCCATCAAACTCCACTCCCACACCTGGTTTGGAGCTGGCCCTAGTTCCCGAAAGCTCTCCTTTAGCCACATGCCCCCCCTTAGATATCTCTTTTCCTGACAACATGGACGCTGAGTCTTTCTACTCCTCATGGGTGCGAAAAAACATTCTCAGAGTTAGCAAATTGTTAGGGGTTACTTTTAAAGGTTATGAATTCCAAGCCATGTCCTTGTTTGCCGAGCTAGAAAAAAGAATGCTCAAGAAGAAAAATGGGTCAGAATCTAACAAGAAAAAGACAAAGAAGAAGACGACAGCATGTGGCTCCAGAGAATTGAGAAGATTGCAATTGGATATCAATTATGACAGTAAGCTGAGGCAGGACAAGGATTTAGGGGATTCCTTACCCATTGATCTATGATTGATAAAATCATCTCATGGAACGTTAGAGGTGTTAATGATGTAAAGAAAAAAAACATCATTAGGGGCTGCCTCAGTCGTTGGAAACCTGATCTTGTTTGCCTTCAGGAATCAAAATTGGATTCTATCAATGACTACCTGGTAAAAAGCTTATGGAATTACAAAGAGAACGGTTGGTTATCCCTTCCAGCAAATAACATTGCAGGTGGTATATTGATTATGTGGAAGAAGGATATCTTGACCTGCATTGACCATATTCCGAGGTCCTGCTCTCTGTCATGCCACTTCTCCAACATTAATAACAACGAAAAATGGTTCTTCACAGGTGTTTATTGCAGAGGCGCCAATGACAGACACCTTATGGGCAG